TTTAAAGCAACATGTGGGGTGTGCAACCCATCACCTCCATGGACACACTTTATGTCTTTTGAGTAACAGAGTCCTCAGCCCAGAGGAGACCCAGCCTCCCCCAGTTCTGGGTTGAGCTTCTCACTTGAAATCTCTACAGAAGACATGTTTCCAGAGGAGATGGGGAGAAAGGTAGATATGAAGGGAGGGGTTATACCTCAAGTGACATTGCAGTCATTGGTGCCTGTTGGGTGGCCAGTGGAAGAGGGATTGTGTTTGAGACTAGCTGGCTTTAGAGATTAATTGTAAATGAAAGAAGAGCTTAGCTATTCACTCCTAAGTCTCCTCGACCACCCACCATTTTTCTTGTTCTCAAGAGCAGACGATTCCATCAGAACACCACAAAACATGTCAATATCCAAGAATGATAAGGGGATATTCTCACTTATATGGCTAGCCTCAGAGGGTCAATCCCCTGTCAAGGGGAGGTGGGTGTCCTGGGGCGGATATCCAGGGATCCTACAGTGATTTTGTTCTGCCTCCTTCTGTGCTTTTTTAAAGCAACATGTGGGGTGTGCAACCCCTCACCTCCATGGACACACTTTATGTCTTTTGAGTAACAGAGTCCTCAGCCCAGAGGAGACCCAGTCTCCCCCAGTTCTGGGTTGAGCTTCTCACTAGAAATCTCTACAGAAGACATGTTTGCAGAGGAGATGGGGAGAAAGGTAGATATGAAGGGAGGGGTTATATCTCAAGTGACATTGCAGTCATTGGTGCCTGTTGGGTGGCCAGTGGAAGAGGGACTGTGTTTGAGACTAGCGGGCTTTAGAGATTAATTGTAAATGAAAGAAGAGCTTAGCTATTCACTCCTAAGTCTCCTCGACCACCCACCATTTTTCTTGTTCTCAAGAGCAGACGATTCCATCAGAACACCACAAAACATGTCAATATCCAAGAATGATAAGGGGATATTCTCACTTATATGGCTAGCCTCAGAGGGTCAATCCCCTGTCAAGGGGAGGTGGGTGTCCTGGGGCGGATATCCAGGGATCCTACAGTGATTTTGTTCTGCCCTTATCCCATGACCTCTTTGTCCACAATTTCTAGCCTCACACTCCCAGGATTACACAGTGGAGAATCTCATCTGGATAGACATGGCTATATTAATCCTGGTGGTCCTAGGGGTGCTGCTACTTGAGGCTTGACACANGCCGCAGGTTTGGATCCTATATAGGGATGGCCGGTGCGCTCACTAGCTGAGCGAGGTGCAGACGACACCAGGGCAAGGGTTGCGATCCCCTTACCGGTCACAAAAAAGAACAACAACAACAAAAAAGAATATGATTTGTAACAATGAATATGCTAATAATAAATAAAATAAAATAAAATAGGTAACTGAATAAATGAGTAAAAATGGGTTTTGAAAAGATAAATTCAAAATCATTACCTATAACCCTTTCAAGACCTCTCAAGTCCTTCCCTCTTTATCATATGATATTTGATGTTGTTTCTCCAGAAATACCTTCCATCTGAATGAACCCAATGGTGCTCAAAGTGATAGCTCAGAGACGTGCTGGTAAACCAGCTCTGTAAAAAACTTTTTAAAAAATCCCTTATTTCTGACTTGCCTGTTTACTTGGTGTAAATACTCCCTTTATGGCCAACTTCAAAGTGCCTATGTGAGTGCANTTTTTTGTGTAATATGTATTTTACTTATTTTTAATTAGTACATTTCCTGATACATGCTATTGACCTCCATGTCTTCACCTCAGAACACAGAATCTGGTAAAAATAACTGAATAACATCCACAACAAGCCCAGCAATGACCACCAAGCCACTGCAGGAAGTGCCCCAGGCTCCTAAGCCAGGGTGGTGGGAGGCCAATGTCCTCAGCCATGCCCCCCCAACATCCACAACCAGCACAGTGATGACCACTGAGCCACTGCAGGAAGCACTCTCGTCTCCTGAGCTGGGGTGGTGGAGGCCCAAAGGCCTTAGCCACTCACCCCTGATATCTACAACAAGCCCAGTAATGAACACCAAGGTGTTGCAGGAGGTGCCCCAGCTCCTGAGCCAGGGGAGTGGGGGCCAAGGGCTTCAGCCACATCCTGCTAACATCTGCATCCAGCCCAGCAATAACCCAGCCACCACTGGAAGCCCCCTGGTCTCCCCTGCCAGAATGGGAGGACCACAGGCCTCAGTCATGCTCTCCCTCCTTCCCCCTCTTCCCACCCTATTTTCAATCCCCCTTCCCTTCTTCTCCCCACCAACTGCTGTGCAACAACATCTTAAATGAGGCATGGAGCCGGGGGAAGCCAAACCCAGCCACAACTAGGCAAGCTGCCACCACTGTCCTGGGACCAACTAGGGCACTGAGGCATGGAGCCAGGAGAAGTCAAACCCAGCCACAACCAGAAACACCATTTTCAAATGGGTAACCCTCCATAGCCATCACAATTGCCATGGCTTCCACAAAAACAGATAGTATCTATAGCAGCAGTCACAGTCACTGAGCAGATGGCACACCAGACTCTCAACTTCACTGACACAAGGAGAGGCATCAGCAGAGACCAAGAAAAAAAGAAAAGTAAAAGAGGTCCCCTCTGTCCACAAAGCACACTCCCAGAGTAATGGAAGAAACATCTGATTTACGATAATAGTGGAAGACTTGATCACACCTGTCTTAGTACTTGACAGATCATCTAGGCCACAAATCAACAAAGCAAGTTAATCTACCAGATGGAGAGAACAAATCTACGGTTATTAGAGGGGGGAGACGGAGGGGAAAATGGGGCAGGGGAGGAG